GGCTGTAGGGGGTCGGTGGGGGGCTGTGGAGGGTTTTGAGAAAAACTACGATACGTCTAAAGAAGCCAAAAAATAATGGAATTTTACCTTTTTTTGTAGGGGGTTGGCGGGAGGGTGGTGGGGGGTTTGTGTGGAATGCCCTACTGAGTTAACTAAATAATATAGGAAGATATATGTGTGTGTATGTGCGTGTGTGTGTGTATGTAATGAGGTATTATTTGTTATTAAATAACCTCAAATTCGTATTTTAGTTGTACTTTTCTGACATATGAGTTATAAATTGCCAAAAAATTATAGTATACTTTGAAAATTAATAGAGATGTCCACAAATTAATTTAAAGTGTTTTCATGACAAAATATCTTTATAAAATAAGAAAAATCGTCATATCTCGATGGAGAAGCAAAATAGGACAAAAATACCGATTTCTCACGGGTCTCCTAAAGGGGAAATAAAATATTGAGACGCACAAATTGAGGTGTTATTTGTTATAATTACATAACCTTAAATTCGTATTTGTGGTCTATCTTTATGAAATTGTAGGTCTATCTTAACTCGTAGCAATGACACATGTGATTGCTTCTTATATAGTTTTCTGTACAAAATGAGTTCAATATTTGATACTTGAAGTTTCACTTCTATCGTGGGTCCCACGACCCATTTTTTTTTTTTATTAAACAGAAATTGCCTTTCTAAGTCACGTTAATAATATGGACAGTTCTAAGCGCCCAGGTGATAATATCAAAGCGGTCAGCGACTTTGCTAAGCCCAAGACCGTCGTGCAATTGCGCCGTTTTTTGCGCCTCGTTAATGCTAATCACCGTGCTAGCTAAAACTCTTGCCCCACTGAACGAATACTTGCTCAGAGCAACCAAAAATAATAAACGTAAGGTCATTTGGACTTCTGAGGCTGAGCTAGCTTTTAAATAAATTAAGCAGGATTTGGCTTATGTCTTTCTTTTATGTCATCCGTCTTTTTCCGCAGAAACTGTTGATTACAGATGCCTCAAATTTGGCCATGGGTGGTGTTCTTGGACAGTTTCAGGGTAATGTGTCGAATCTCTTAGGATTTTTTTCGCCAACTCAATTAAATTATGGGGTGTACGATAAGAAGTTAACTTCAATCTTTGAGTCAATGAAGTACTTTGAATAATTTTTTGAGAGTAGAGAATTTCACATCCTGACTCACCAAAAGCCTCTTATCCACGCCTTTGAACAGTGGGCTAAAAAGGCTTCTCACGTACTAAATTAGCTCGGGACTCATACCAAATTGGTATGGCTTATGAGCAAACATAGTATATGTCGTCTGTACTACGCCACTGTAACGTTGTTTGGCGGCATAACCTTGAAGGCCGAATTGCAAATGCAACACGTAGTTGAATAAGGACTGCTTTTTCAAGATCTTCATTTGTATTTTTATATCAGATTTTTTGATAAGAGACGTTGTAATGTTAAATCTGTAAGCTTAAATATTTTGCTGTGAACGATAGTAAGTGAAAGAAAGAATTCAGACCTTTGGTATGTCAAGATTATCCAAAAGAAGAAGCATTGTAAGACCGTACATTTTTACTTTTTTAGACAAATATGTTGAAACTGATTTAAAAAGTCATTTGTTGTCTAGAATTATTTCTTTTACCAAAAAAAAACTCTTGTAAACCTCATACAAAAACGATAACCACGCTAATTGAAGTAACTAAGATTTTTTGTTTGCATACTTTTAAATCTCAAAAATTTTGTGGGATATATTAACATCAACATTTCAATGGAATATTAGCTATAGGTATCATTAAAAAAAAATGTAACAGTTTTTAAAGTCGACGTGCTGTGTTATTGTAACAAACTTACTAAATATCCTCATTCAAGATAAGATTCGTGCTTATTAGTTTACTCAAGGAAAAAAATACAACAATACGAGTCTATTACTTTTAGTATAGGTTAATTTTACTAACAAAAAAGCATTTTTTAATACGTTCCATTGAATAAACCTCATCAGCATGGGCATTGTTTAAATGATCTTAAAGTTATAACAATAACTTGCAAACCTACTATTAACGATATAGTGGCGTAGTACAGACGACGTATACTACGTTTGCTCGTGAGCCATAACAATTTAGTACGAGTCCCGAGCTTACTTAGAACGTGAGAATCGATACCTCTGGAGCACCTCAAAGGTGCAACTGTAGTATAAAGCAGAAGCTATAGTAGTGCGTTTCACGATTTACATTTGTATGTAGGTCTTTATACTACCGTAGCAGATTCTCGATACTACCGTTGCGTTCCACGGGCGCTACTGTAGTATGTGACGCACTATAATCTAGTAGTATACAGATACGCATATTACCATAGCATCAGAGCTCTCTCCGTACAGGTGGCAGAAATTTTCTTATTCACTATTGTACGAGGCGTATGCGTTAGCACACACTAGGCTCGGATAGGGTGATTGGGAAGACACAATAAAACACAATAAAATTAAACAGCATAAAATAACAACGTTTAATATCACTCAAAGGCCAAGAAATCACAGTTAATATTCACAAAAATAGTAAAGGTCAAAATTATACAGGAGAAAAGAAATAATGTCTATAGTCTTAAGGCAATGAACTATTGAAATATATAAAGGCGAAGAATGTAGAAAGAAAAGAGTCAAGTTGAATAACACAATATGTAAACACGCACTGGCCTTGAGCTCGCAAGAGAGTTTGAAAGTTACACGAAATACGCAAATACACAAATAATTTGACGTTCCATCTTGGGCGAGCATGGCTGATAGATTAGAAATTTGACGGAATGCTTCTGAGTATAACTGTTGAAAAGCCCTGTCTGCTCCAACGAAGTTCGTCCCACAATCAGAATACAACTTAAATGGACGTCCCCGACGTGAGACAAATCGCCAATACGCTGACAAGAATCCTTCGGTAGAGTAATCTGTCACTGCTTCGAGATGCACAGCCGAGGTCGAAAAACACACGAACACACATATCCAACCCTTGTATGTCTTTGACCCTCTGCCGCGCCAAGATTTGAGATGTATTGGACCTGCGTAGTCGATACCTGTGTGAGCAAACAGTCTGGAGGGAGTCACCATGGCCTCGGGTAACTGTCCCATGAGTTGTTGTGCTCTTTGTGCCCGGTACCTGGCACATTTGAAACAGGAGAGGATTCTGGATCGGATGGGGGTCCTTCCACCGATTATCCAAAACTCTTGACGAGTTTTGCTAAGAGTGAGCTGAGTTCCTCCGTGTAGAGTTTGCCGATGAGCCTGATCGATCACCAAACTGGTAAATTGAGCTTGACGAGGAAGTAGGGCAGGATGTTTTGCATCAGGTCTGAGCTTGGCATCCAGGAGTCTGCCTCCCACACGCAGTATGCCAGCATCATCAGTATATGCCATCAACCAGTGGAAAACATGGCCCTTTGAGAGAGAACCTGATTTGAGCATCTTGATTTCCTCCTTGAAACATTCGTGTTGAGTTAATCTGATGAGTGAGAGCTTAGCTTGAGTGATGAGTTCTGCAGTGACAGCTACGGATGACTCCTGGTGTGTGAGTTAGGCTTTGAACTTGGCACAAGCAAGTAAGAGGGTGACTGTGATACGATAGAGTTTGTGCAATGTGGAGCTGGACTGAGTGAGCCTGAGTAGGAACTCCGAGTCCGAGACTGATATCACCAATGCTGACACCTGACGCACCTCTGTCTCATCCTTCACCTCGACGTTACTCGGCTGCAGAGGCCAACCATCATGGGGTTGTATCATCCACTCTGGTCCTTGCCACCAGAGCCTATGCTCAATCAATTGTGAAGTGAGAATCTCTCTAGAAGCTCAGTCAGCAGGATTCTCCTTTCCAGGGACATGTCTCCAATGTGCTGCAGGGACCAGATCCCGAATTGCTGCAACTCGATTCCTGACGAAATCCTTCCACTTATTTAGATGAGAAGAAATCCAATACAGTGTGACTGACGAATCTGTCCATAAGTGAATGTTGCTGATATTGAGTGTGAGTTGGTCGGTGACATACTTAGTGAGTTTAGCCAGGATGAGAGCTGCTGTCAACACCAACCTTGGTATTGACATCCTCTTCAGTGGTGATGCTTTCGTCTTGGAGCAGACGAATGAGCTTGACGTGGCTAAGTCTGACTTTATCACCAGGTAAATCACAGCACCCATAGCATCCTGAGACGCATCAGCAAAGCCATGGAGTTCCACTGCAGAAGAAGGATGTGCTCCAAGCCATCTAGGAACCGTCACTCCGGAGANGATACATTAAGTTATCTTGAAACATTCAAGTTATTATCTGAAATAAAAAAACACGTAAACTTTTTAATAAAATCCAATATTCTATTCATGTTAATTAATGATATTAAACATACATTAAAATAGGTAAATCAAACAAACTAAATGAAGGAATAGTAGATGAAATAAGTAGTTATGTAGATGCTAGATATGTAAGTCCAATGGAAGCAGCTTGGAGACTTCAAGAATATCCAATTTGTGGTAGAAGTTTATAATAAGTTTATTAAAATTTAGACATTTTGAAAANCCTTGAGTTGGAGGGCCTGCTCGTTCAACTCATCTGGAGTCTCCGCTCCACCAAAAATTTCGTCTACATATCTGCCACTGGTGAGAATCCGGGCCGCCTGGGGGTAACGGTGCCATTCATCTTTCACCAGCTGCAGCAGTGAGCGTGTGGCCAGAAATGGAGCAGGCCTTGTCCCGTAGGTCACTGTGGTAAGCTGGAAGTGAGCTTCCTCGTGAGTTTTGCTATGCCAGATGATTCGCTGAAGATTCCAATCGTCTGGATGAACCTTGATCTGACGATACATCTTGGAGATGTCCGCAGAGAAAGTCCATTTAAAGGTGCGTAACCAGAAGAGTATATCTGTTATGTTGGGCAGTAGATTAGGTCCCGTGGGAGTTATGCTGTTGAGTGAATGTCCAGAGGAAGTAAGGGCTGATCCATTTAAAACCACCCTGATTTTGGCGTTGTCTCCATCTTCCTTCAATACGCCGTGATGAGGGAGATAAAAATGAGGCTTGATGTTGAGCTCATCTGCAGGCATCGGTCGCGTATGGCCAAGACTCAAATACTCATTCATGAAATCTGTGTAAAGCTTGTCGTACTTGTTGTCTGTTTTGAGCCTGGCCACCGTGCGATCGAAGCATTTACGAGCACGGTTGACTGAGTTGGCCAAGAAATCACAGTTAATGTTCACAAAAATAGTAAAGGTCAAAATAATACAGGAGAAAAGAAATAATGTCTATAGTCTTAAAGCAATGAACTATTGAAATATATAAAGGCGAAGAGTGTAGAAAGAAAAGAGTCAAGTTGAATAACACAATATGTAAACACGCACTGGCCCTGAGCTCGCAAGAGAGTTTGAAAGTTACACGAAATAAATGTGAAAATGAAAGCACTGATATAGTATAACTGATTTAAATATTGATTAACTTAAAACCACTGTCTGTAGAAACGCACAATTACTGTCTGTGGAAATACACAAGAGTTTCACTGAGTCTTGTTGTTGATAATCACTGGTAGCTCGATGAGATTAACTATTTGAGCTGGTCTGCAGATTATTCAGTGAGCAACTTAAACAAAGCACTAAGTGCACTGCACTGCACAACTGAACTTTGTCCACTGTATTGAGAGAGTTAATTAGAAGATTTACACTAGCATTTATGGTGATGTATGCACCTTTGAATGCTAAAGTTTGGCAACGTAAATTAAGAGAGTCTATCTTCGACGAGAGCTGAGTATAATCTAGCCCTTACAGTATACAAAGCTTGCCACGTGAATACGCACACACACACCTTCAGCGCGCCAAGTCGACCAAGCGCACACGCACAGAGCGTTGAGCCGACAGAGACTACAAGTGTACACAATGTACACAAAAGCCGGGCCTACTGTCGGTCGCTCTCATTTCCAACAACCATTTTTTCCTGCTTGAACTACTGGACTACAAGAAAATGACTGTGATGTCTGATTAATGAATTATTTATAATCTGTAGTTATTTATTATGATTTTTTTAATGTTATGTACATAATGTAAGATGATAAACTCTCAACATAAAATTTCATAGTAATGTTTTTTTTAACTCGAATACAATGGAAGTTATTTGCATATTTTTCAATTGAAAACTATATTATTAGCGTCACTTTCTTAATGATTGAAGATGTGGAATAAAGTCTAGTTTAATTATTAGGACCAATTTCTTATAAAAAAGACACTTGATGTTGTACAGAATTAAAATGAGAAGCTGATTTAATAAGGCAGTACAAGTCCTTGCTCGCACAGAATTTTCTGAAAAATGAATTTTGTACTCTTCTGTGCCAGAAACACCATGTCACAAAGCCTAAAGTTCATGTACACGATTTTTCCTTTGTTAGTGAGGGTACATAGAACAAGAAAAAATTTTTTGTGAAGGTGTGCCTTGAAAAAAAATTTAATTTTTTTTTGGGACGCGTAAATGAAAATTTGGATTGGATTTCCTCATATATAGTCATACAGGTTACAACAAAGCTGATCTTATGCATCAAAAAGGTTAGGTACAATTGAACTTCTTTAAGTTAACGCTTTTTAAAAACAGAGGGTGGTTGAATTTTGCATCTGGAGACGTGTTTGTTTTTTATTAGTAAACGGAGAAAATATTAAGGTAGCATACAGATCTTAAATTGTAGAAAATATTCTAATTTGTGTAGTTATTACGTAGTCATTAGAAATACTACTACTATTACTATTTTATAATGCAGCACATTAGATAAAATAGTAACCTTTGTACGATTATCGTCGTTGGTTAATTTATATAACTATCAAAATTATGTGGACAAAAAATCAAAAGAAATAAGCTAAGCGATGAAAAGAATTATATTCCAATGTATTTCAATAAAATAACCATATTCAACAGCAAATGTACTACACATGTACTAAGAAACTAAATTAGAGACTTCAACTCAGCTCTCTTTTAAAATTTAAGGCAAAATGACTCCCTTATAACTGTGTTAGCCTAATTCAATTTTTATTGAATTATTATAAACATATTTTATTGGACTACAATTCCATTTTTATGTGGCAGTTTATAAAACTGGTTCTTATTACAAGATATTGCAATAGTTTACCAAAAAAAATTATTCAAGAGAAAACAAATCAGCAGAAGAACAAGAAAATAATGATCACGAGGCTCTTCAGGTAAACTATACGCATCGGAAATACCTACATATATGACACATCTGATGAGCTGACTAACCTTGCCTGACAGTATAAAATTAATTTCGAGTATGTTACAAAGAGAACGTAGTAATCACTCCACAATAATTAGAATTCCATAACCTATACTAATATCTTGCAAGAAGTACTCATTCTATGAATTACCATATGAAAAAAAAATAGTCTTTAATTGAAATAGGATTGTTCCCATACTATGCAATGCTTTTATGCTGGAAAATTTGGAACTGAGCTCCGTCATTGGCAGCGCTACCTGAAATATGCTGCAATGAATAGTTTGTGCTACAATCCACGAAAGATGAAATTTGAAAAATACAAATAAGTGTAAAGAAACCGCTGTATCGCAGCAGTTACATACGCGGTAGTAGGTATACAAAATAATAAACATACTTTGCTATTAGCAGTGCTGTCATGCTCAGTGCTAGCAAATGATAACTTTTTATATCTATATCTACCAATATATATATAGCTATAGCGTGACATGACGAAACTCGTTTATCCCCAACGAAAATTCCCTAACGTGGTAAAAAAGTTTTCACTGAAAAAATTTTAAAGTAAAATCTTTGCGTTGTTTCTTTTTAATAAATAAAGCAATTTCTAGAAGAAGAATCAATTTAAATTTATTCTGACATTGTAAGGTAGAAGACTGCATTTGAGATAAGTAGGTACAACAGACTATTTGCATACCTTTATCATACCTATTAATGGCGCTGGCCTTTAAGTCTAAAAAGAAGTTCTCGCTTACCAACGATTTTTTACCTCTATTTACCCACCTGTTAGACGTTGTGCTACCGGTATGGGCGGTCACGGAGGGATAGATAAATCTGGGCCAGAGGTATTTACGACACGTCAAGTGTAATTTATGTCATTTATGTAATAAACGAGTGTCCCACCAGTGAATTAATTCATGGTGACTGTTTCTGATTGTAGTGGATTACGAGTCATTATATTGGCGGGACATTAAAAAATATTAAAACCAAAGTAAAGAAAAAAATATTTAATCCAATAATGCTATAAACTAAGAACTTTGATTCACAGTTACCCTTTACTTACCTTTGCTCATATTGTTGATAAATAATATTAAAAGCATATATAACCACATAATCCAAGGTGTTCTTACTGTCCATTTCATAACTCATTAAAGCATAAATTAATACCACAAGCTCCAATCATTAGGTAAACCAAGGTGCATAATGACCACTTGAGGAATAAAATAAAAAAAATAAAAGCGCTGATTACCAGGTAACCACTGGAGTTAAATGGTCACTTGATTATAATTATGATTAGTAAAAGAAAAGAGTCAAGTTGAATAACACAATATGTAAACACGCACTGGCCCTGAGCTCGCAAGAGAGTTTGAAAGTTACACGAAATAAATGTGAAAATGAAAGCACTGATATAGTATAACTGATTTAAATATTGATTAACTTAAAACCACTGTCTGTAGAAACGCACAATTACTGTCTGTGGAAATACACAAGAGTTTCACTGAGTCTTGTTGTTGATAATCACTGGTAGCTCGATGAGATTAACTATTTGAGCTGGTCTGCAGATTATTCAGTGAGCAACTTAAACAAAGCACTAAGTGCACTGCACTGCACAACTGAACTTTGTCCACTGTATTGAGAGAGTTAATTAGAAGATTTACACTAGCATTTATGGTGATGTATGCACCTTTGAATGCTAAAGTTTGGCAACGTAAATTAAGAGAGTCTATCTTCGACGAGAGCTGAGTATAATCTAGCCCTTACAGTATACAAAGCTTGCCACGTGAATACGCACACACACACCTTCAGCGCGCCAAGTCGACCAAGCGCACANGCTCCAATCATTAGGTAAACCAAGGTGCATAATGACCACTTGAGGAATAAAATAAAAAAAATAAAAGCGCTGATTACCAGGTAACCACTGGAGTTGACTACATGGTCACTTGATTGTAATTATGATTAGTGAAACATTGATTAACAAAATAAGCACCAATCACCAAGTAACTCGGGGCGCTGACTGGCAGTTCAAGTAAATATTAGAAAAAAAACAATAAGTACCATAAGCGTCAATCGCCAGGTAATCTGGCGCGTCTACTAGCCACCTATTAAGTTAAAATAAAAAACAGAAATGAAAAACACAAGTGCCACTTACCAGCTAATCTGGGGCGCTTTCTGGGCTTTTAATAAATCACTAAAACGACAAGAAATAATTTAAGTGCCAATCACCAGGCAACCAAGGGTGCCTACTGGTTGTTATGTATATATTATTTAGAAAAGCATTGATAAACAACATAAGCATCAATCACCAGGTAACCTGGGGTAGCACCAATCACCATGATATACAGAACGTTTACGGGCTGTTTAAAATTTAATGATGAAACGATAAATAACAAGGCCTATAATTAGATAACCTGGAAGCTTCTTTGACACTTGTTTGATTAATTAAGCACGGCCTGGTAATATTAGTGCTTTTGTCATACATTATTTCTTTATTGACCTTGAAACTTGCCAGTAAACACCTTATATTACCTGATAATTAGCACTTGTGTTATTTGATAATGCTTAATCAATTTGCTTTTTTTTTTCTTAGAGCCGTAACACTAATCCGTAACACAGTGTATCTTCGTTTGATGTTGGATTATCGACTCAGATAGGGGCTTGTAAAATTGTTAATAATTAGTACATGATATAAATGGAAGAATAAAGTAAAATTTTCATTGACAGCGCCGTTACCTTTATTAAGATAAAATTTTATATGAGCCTGTAACGCTTCTATTGTTCTTAAATAAAATAAAAACTTTAAGTACAAAATTTTCTAATGCAAATCGAGTAGGCTTTAAAAATTTTTAGCCTTTATTAGTCAGGGAAAATACAAAAAAAATATTTGAACACTTAAAAATCCATTTTAAGTAGTTGTGCATTTAGGCCTTTAAAATATTCCAGTTTCAGTACAACGGTCCATATATTCTTATTTATCAACAAAATATAAGGTTATTGGGTTACCAGGTTAAACTTCTTAGTTTGTAGGGTTATTGGGTTATATAGATTTCGCTCAAGTTATTGGGTTAACATTTTTTTACTATAGTGCGCAGAAGAAGGAACTTTAGTCCTGTTTCGTCGAAAAAAGATTCCTCTTTCGGGCAGGTAGAATAGCATTTAATTAATGAGAGGAAACAAAGAATTCTTAAGACTGCATGCTTATTGCCTGCGATCTGAGATATTCTTTATTGTTTCCCTCCAGGTGAGTTCTTGCGTATGACATATCATTTTCTGATGGTATCATGATCCGTAATACTCTGCCATCGGGAATTTATGGTTACGGGATCACCAGAAAATATATTTATATGCTTGAGTGAATAACTTATTTCAAATTTATAGTCATCTCAATAGAAGTTGGAGGTAGAGGTTGTCAATCAAAAGGTGTTTTACTATTTCTTATTTTACTTTTTTTTTGCTTAATGGACTCGAATAAAATTTTGCAAGTTGACTTTAAATTAATCAAGAAAGGGCGCTCAACTGTTAGATTTTTCTAAAAATACGCAATAGAGGAGCTTTACTTTAAACATAACCCCTTTTTCTGACATCTTAAGCAATTATGAATACATCTCATACTTTTATTATAACGTTCTTTTTATGTTACGTCTGTTAGTCAAATCGATTTTTAGTTTGGTCCAGATTTTAAGAAATTTGATGTAGAAAGATAAAAGATATTTTTGCATTAATATTTATTATAACACTATACGTAAACCATAAAGCCCCTGCTTATATTACTTAAAAGCGCATCGGGCCGAATGGCCTAACTTAAATCACTTTTTGTTCTCTACTAGTACAGATTCTAACATATTGTAAGCCTTTTTTTGCATGTCTACACACCTTTTTTGCGACATTAACGCAATACGTGTCGTAAATGTACCAAGTGTCATAAATTGATTTTGTATCCCAGGTCGTAAATAAAATATTCTACGTGTTGTAAATTGAATTTGTGAAATGACATAAATGGCACACCCATTTCTGCGGGAGCACTCTTTTACCCCCTAACCTGCTGCAACTATGTAGTCTCCTTCTTTATCAGGCTTTTCTTCACTTTATAATATTTGAATTTCCCATTAGTCCTATAATCCAAGCATTATTTACTCATTTTTTCGAGTTTCTTAAGTTTTTTCTTATTGAGTTACTGTCCTCGTCAGTCCCCGACTACTGGCTGAAACTTTGCTTTTCACACACAAAAAGATATTTTCATTGACGTTACAAATGCCTTTTGTATCAACTTTTTTTTTTTTTAAGCATGAAAAGTTTCTATCTCATGAAAAGTTTCACACAGTCATACATACAGCAAACAAAAATGTCATGACTGCTGTCGTAGCTCTGAAATTGGCGGTTAGGAAACTTTGATGGTTTCTAAAAAAGAAAAAAAATCTTATTATTTGCCATAAATGCTCAAAGCTTTACTATTTTTAGTAGCAAGGTTTAATATTTAAGTCTTCCCTAATAGATCAAATGAGGCAAAAGCTATATTCGATACAAATATCAAATATCACAGCACAAATATTCTGGATCCCAACCTATAATGAAATAAAAGGAAATGAAAAAGCAGGTAAGACCGTCAAAGAAGCAACCTTTAATAAAAAAATGAATAATATCTCTATTCCTATCTCAGACTTATCATCAAGTTATGAAATCATCTACATAAAAAAACACAAAGAAAAACTGATAGATATTCACAAAACCAAAAGAAGTTTTTTTTCAATAATTATTATTAGCTTAGCGATAGTGAACCTTGGTTTAGTAAAATTGTTTAAGAGAAATCATAGTTTGAATTAATAGATTCAAATAGTTAATGTTTTTCTATACTAATGATATAGTGAAGTAATATTGTATCACTAATGTATTGATGTATAGATGCCATACTTCTTACCTAGGGCACAAAGTACGCGGTAATTGTATGTTTGTGCCCAAAGTGAGAACGAAATTTTTTGTGTCAAGGGCGAAAAGGCTGTGCCTGAGGAACGGAAATGTTACCAGTAAAATACACACTAAATCCCGCAACGATCTATTGATTAGCTCTATAGACAAAAATTCAAGAAAAATTGAAAAAAAGATATGACATCGTTGTGTGGTGACCCATGCTTTCAGCTTCACTTACCAGATGGCCAAGCCTCATGTATGTATAGAACTTGCTTAGAATGTAAATTCTATAGAAATATCAACGTTTAAGGAAAATGACATCTCAACATGTTTATTTTAAATGAGTAAAATACATCTAATACTGTTCATATCACAAGTTACCGATAGTAAACGAAGATTGTAAAAAGTAACTGCAGGTTTTTATAATAGTTTGACTACGTTTATAATAAAAGCTGCTTGAAGTTTATGATATTCAAATATATGCTGCGCTAATTTTTTACAAATATTTCAAAATTCAGTCAAACTAAATACAAATTTTAAAAAAATACAATTTTACGATTTCTAATCTATCATGCTTTTTTTAATAATACCACTGTGTCGAACTATTTTTAACACTTTTTTATTAAAGCTAATGATAAAAATCAAATCACTTTTTCTGACAATTTTTACATCGTATATTTTGTAACTGAACGTACGTGAACATTCTTATGTGTTCAATAGAAAAAAAATTTTATCTGAAAATCAAGTAGAAAAGATATTTTCTTCAAGTAGAAAAGGTATAAGTGTTATATATTAATTACATAAAAAAAAATTGATGGTAAAACTTGATTCAGTTCCTTACTATTTTGAATTTAATATTATAAATCATGAAACAGTAGGAAACCAAGATGAGATTGGTACATTAAAATTTTTTATTAATAATTTTTTACAACAAGTACAGTCTATACAATAGAAATTCGATTTTTTTTGTATTTAAACTTAAGAGAAAAGAAATCGAAAGCACAGTAAAAAATTAATAGTGATTTAGACAAACAAACTAATGTTGTATTTGAAAGTGAAAGAAAACATTAAAGGAATCAGGCATTACTAAAGAAAAAACTAAGATCAGGAAATAGAAATCATGCGAGGCACTTTGACAACGACGATGGTAGTAGATTAAAGAAAGAGGTGC